TAATTGGATCAGTTAATAATTGGTTTATAAGTATTTTCTTGCTTAAATCGCAAGTGTTCACTAGCAGTAATTCTTTTTCTTTCATTAATTTCATCTATTTCGATGATGAATTCACTAGAAATAGGATATGATCTGATATCTCTTCCAGCATGGCAAAAATAAGCAATATTATATTTATGCAAATACATATTTTCTTTATTAAATAAAACACGATATTTAGTTGACTTAATAAACCTTTTGTCTAAAATTCCATTAAATCTCCAATATTAATTAAAATTGCATTAGGAACAACAGGAATCTGTATCCATTTTTTAGTGTATGGATGTTAAAATTTTAATTCTCTTATTTCTTTTTGAAATAATAATGTTATGGATTCGTAATCTGTATGACTATTAAAGGATGAAATTTCTTTTAACAAATAAAATAAATAATAAATAAAAAATATAAATTATTAAATTACCTCTAGCTCTGATAACTTGATTTTAATTAACGTCTTCTGATACTTTACCTTCTTCAATTGTAATAGAAGGATAATGTAATTATTATCAGATTTCATTCTATATCCATGTCTTTTAGAAAACCAATTTTTTTTTTCTTCTTCTTCATTATCTTCAATCTTCAATGATATTGCCAACGATTATAATACTTTCAATATAAATTATGACAAGCCTATAAAAATAATAATTTTTAAGGAACTTGCTAAAATTTGAATTTGTTTCATATGTATAAGCCAATCTAATAGTTACTTTTTCAAATGATTTGATAAATTTACTTCTCTCTTCAAAATATTTTGGTAATTCTTGTGAGATGAGTTTTTCATTTTGAAATTTTTCAAAATTAAAACACCTAATAATTAAATAAAGAATATATAATAAATTACTTTTACAAATAAAATAATAATGAATCATATATAAATTAAGTTACTCTTTATGATCTCCAATTTTTTGATGAGAAGGATCAAGTACTTCTTGCTTTAAATCAACAAAACCAAAATATTTGTCATTCATAATATATCTTCTCTTGATATTCTAATGAAAAATTTTTTACCTATATAATCAATATTCAATTTCAAAAATTTTTATTCTTCTACATAAAATTTCAATTGATTCCAATATTATCTTCACTTTCATACTTATAATTGAAAATATTTCATTAATGAATTCATTAGAAATTCCATGATTTTTTAAATAATAAAATCTAATATATAGAAGACAGTCAGTAAAAAAAGAGGAAATTCAAATTTTGGTCAAAATTTATATTATTGGATCACTTGGCTAATCTCAGTTATGTGCATAAAATTAGCTTAATAATTAAAATTAACAAAAATTTTGAATTTTCTCCTTTTTTTTCCACCTACCATATTCACAAGCATATTTTATTTTCTTTAAACATTCTATTGAAAAATCAATTATAGGAATTTCGTCATTATCGTTATTATATAATAGATTGCTTGTCATTATTATAATTTAGAATAAAAGGTACAAAGGATATGAAAAGTTAAAAGTGGTGAATGGTTTTTTTAGATCAACATTATTAGATAAAAAATTGAATGATAAAAAAAAATGATCGATAAAAGTTGATCTCCAAATAATGACATCATGTAAACAAATCCATTTTTTTTCTTTCCATTTTTTTATTCTCTATCATACAAAATTTTTCTAAAAATTTGCTAAATTTGTTTATCAGGTTTGCTTTTTACTTAAGGTCTACTGAGTAGCTTCTGTTTGTTTAGATCTGCTGATTCTTGAAGAAGGATTGGTTATGTATTTTTTTTAAACAAATAATAAATTATTTTAGTTAAATAAATTCAGATTTAAGTGTAGAGTTGATGTCGATCATTGCCAATTAGTAAATCATTAACAAAGAAAATCAAAAAATGTGGCTGAACTTTTATATAAAGCTAACTTTCTATAAAATGTTAATAAAAAATTGTGCTGTTAAAAAGTAACTTTCCAAGAGTACAACTTTTTAATTTTGTAAGAAAAAGTTATTATTATGTGCTAATTAATATATTTATAATATAAATAATGCATTATCATAGGTAATGACTTTTAAATGATATACTATCCTTGTTAAACAAGGTTCTAATAATCGATAAGCCATCAAGCATCTTAATAGTAGTTGGATGATAATTGATATGTCTGCTAGATTTTGTGTTTTAGATTTACATAGTAAAGCAAAAGTGTTTGATCTTACCTCTGATATTACAAGAAATATCTCTGTTGCTAAAGAAAAAAATTATGATGCTAGATATTTTTTCCTTTGTAATCAAGAAGCAGAACAATTGTTGATTTTATTATTACCTGGATATACTATTTTTACATTTGCAGGTAAAAAACGGTTCAAAATATCAATTTTAGAAGATAATAATCAATTACTTTTTCTTTAGAAGGAATTTGGTTCTGATAAATCATATGTTAAGAAAAGAGCATAAGATGTTGAACAGTTTGCATTTTATTATATGTTGAAAAAATATTGTCCTGATTTCAACAATTCTATTTAAGCAGTTCTTGGTTTTAATAATTCAAAAATAGTTAATAAGTTACAAAAACTTGTTCATGAAAGATTTCTAACTGTTTTTTAATCTATCGTTATTTTACCAGAAAATTCAAAATTAATTAATGCAAAAAAAAGAGAAGAGATATTATGCTGCAGTTTAAAATGAGAACAAGAAAAAATTGATTCAATATTTTGTGAAGAAAATGATAACAATAATATTCTATTTGGAATCCAGTTAAATCTGATAAAAAAAAGTTATCCTCAAAGGAGACACAAGCTTTAATATTAAAAAGTTTAGAATATAAACAAATGATTTACTCATAAAACAAAACAATAAAGTCTCTAAAAAAAAATTACTACAGCCAAAAATGATGATAATATAATTATGTGTAATAATACAAAGATTCAAGAACTGGTAGAAAAGAAAATTGAAGAAAAAAAGTTAGATCAACTATTTTCATGAGTATCTCACAATACCTTTCTATTTTTCTTTTATTATCTTGTCTAAACTGTCTTTATATAATGGTATCAAACTAAATATTCTATACTACTATATCAGGGTTTAATATATCTTGTGTTATTAATTATCTTCTATGAAAATGTCAATTCAATATATGAATGAAGACTCTAAAGTAAAATATTCTCATTTGGTTGCAGGAATTATACTTGCTGGAGGAATAAATAGAAATTCTTTTTAAATTGCATTGGCAACAATAGGGATAACAAATCAATATAGCAAACAAACTTATCATAATTATCAAAACCACATGTACAAACTAATTATTGAAGGCATTAAATTTAGTAGTATGACAATTTTACTTGAAATTTTAGATCAATTGGAAGCAAATTGTTTACCAAATCAAGAAAAAATATTACCTATAAGTTTTGATTGTTCATGGTCACATTCCTGAAATACACATCAAACCAATAAAGAATTTTTATAATATTTATAAATTAAACTAATTAAATAAATTAATTATTAGGGTATAATGATCAACCTGTAATCAGATTCCATACAGTGGAAAATTCTCATTCAATAAAATCTAAGGATAACACTTTAGTAATATCAGTAACAGTTTATAAGAGAAATTTTGATAGAACTTTAAGACAAATCGAACACACAATTTTGCTTGTATTACTTATTGATCTAATATCTATTTTAGAAGAAACTGATTTTACCTTACATATATACGTTGATGGTGATCTTGAAACTAATCAAACTTTGGCTTATATTCTGATAGTAAGTCGTATATTTGCTGATTTAAAATATGTTAGCAAAAATATCTGAAAGAACTTATATAAGTATATATTAGCTTTTATTTATATATATACAAAATTATTAGCTATATTATAATAGATAAGCATTTATAAAATAATATATTTTAAAATTTACTATTTATGTACTTTTTTTTATTAGTTTACTTTATAATTAATAAAATTTTAATATATTAATAGTAAAAAAACAGTATTCACATTGGCATCCTTTTGAATAGCATATTATGCGATACTTTAATTACTGTATATTTAGTATATTTGGTGCTAGAATTCAAAAAAAAGTAATCTAAAAGATGTACCAAGTGAAGAAGAAACACGATTTATACAAATAGAATGCTTAATTCAACATCTACTTAATTATCATAATTTATGTTAGAGTGATGTTTGCTAGATAAAAGATAATCTAGAATTGCAGTTATAAGAACTAATTTTGAAAAATTGTACTCAAATTGAAATCAAAATTTTTTGAAATGTTATTACAATAATTTTTTGTGTATTATTTGGTTAAGGCCTTATAACTACATTACGTACTTTACATAATAAGACATTTAACAGAAAAATACTCAAATACTTAGATAAATGAATTGATTATTAGGCTTCATATAGTACTCAGCATGCATAGTAGTAATTGATCAAAATGATAGATTGGATGTAATGATTTCAAAAGTTTGTATAGCAGTTACAGGAATAGATTTTTCATTTTCAGATACATATAATTTATTAAAATTTGTTTAAAAAAGATCTCAGCAAGTTATTAGAAATCATTACACAATTCAACAATGAAATAAAATAAGAAAAAAGCAGTTTGCAAATGAGAAAAAAGAACTTATAGGTTTTGATTTTGATAAGGTAATTATATAATTTTTCTTTATATATTATATAAATTTTATTAATTAATAATTTTTTTTTTAATTGTAGGAATTAGTATCTTACAAAAATAAAACCTCAAAACAAATTCATGAAAAAACCTTTTAGTTATCATTTGGTAACCTTATAGTAGATTTTGATGTAATTATAAAATGTATTGCATATAATATATTTGCAAAAAAGGGATCATGTAGTTTATATAACATTTGCTCATTTTATGTGAATATGAGACTGTAGCATCAAATTATTGATGCTACATATATATCTAAAGGACAAAAACCAGAATTACCTAACAAAAAATGCTTATTTCACTTGCTGTATCAAGGATTTTTGAATTTAATGAATTCTGAAATGAACATATGAAAGCTATCGTTGATTATTTAAATAATAAAGATATTTTTATATCTATGAAAACTAATGGAGGAAAAACTTTATGTTATGCTCTATCAGCTGTTTGTTTTACAGGTTTAACTATTGTATCTTGTCCTCTTAAAGCACTTATGGAAGATCAAAAGGTAGGTTAAAAATCAATAAATTAAATAATAAATTAATATCTATACTAAAGATGGAAACTGTAATTAATATGTTGCAACTTTTAATGTTGCAACTTATGTTGCAATTAGTTTTAACCTATAT